AAATATTTTATTGTCCGTAATTATAATTTTGTAATTTTTGTATTTATTTTTAGCCTTTTAAGTCTTCTTTGAATTGCTCATGTGAATTTGATCATTTTCTTTAATGGGAGGGTCTGTAAACTTTCAAGCACAGCTGTATATCATCCTTTAACTGCAGGCTTGACCACTACTTGTTTTTGATCTATGTTAATGCAGAGAAATCTAATTCTCATAGGTATGTACATGTGAACAAAATTAGCATTTGTTGCCCTTTTTTTGAAGAGATGGGGGAATTCTGTCTGCAGAGACAGCCACAGGCATAGGCTAAATGTTGGAGAAATGTTTGTATTTTCTGTTTTTTTCCTTTCCTCATGTCACTCTTCCCTTATGGGGTGGTCGAGCTCTTTAGGCCCTTTAACCTCTTGGACACTAGGCCTGTTTTCGAGAAATATGCTTGAAAATAACATGCCCAAAATGAATTGAATATATCTCAAGAACTACAGAGTTTATTTTAATTGTTTTGGTATCAAAATAAAGGCAAGACCCCAGAGAATATGTTACAGGTCTAAAAACCATCTTGGGGTGAGTACTGAGGACCCAAATTTGGGTCCTTGTGTTATGAAAAGGTTAACCACCCAGGACCCCTCGATTCCCAACCCATCCTTTTACCCCAACCCAGAGACACAGTTCTAATTTTCTATAAATAACCCTATCGATTTATTCATTTCATTAATCTTAAGAGTGTGGAGAAGCACATTCCTCGCTTTAACACTTTGATTAAATATGAATAGATTTGTAAAAAAATAAAATAAAACCATTGCTGCCCCAGTTTCCTAAATGTAATCTTGATCACACGTATTTATTTGTGTCTATAAGCTGGAAAAGTCCCCAGATTTGATTTCAGAAATCTGGTAACAGGCCGTAAGTTATGTTCAGTCAGCTTCTTAGCAGACATACCACTCTGAGCCTGTTAACTGTGCTTGTAAATGTTAAGAGTGATGCTTGACTCTTATTTAGGATTCAAAAATCCAAATGTACTTTCTTTGAATTGAGGGAAAAGTGTAATAGCTTTCTTTCAGCCTTCTGGCTGGCTACAAATTCAGCAACAGATGGGGAGGAATGGTGTAGCTCTACATACTAAACAGCTGTAGAAAATCATGATCAGTCCTATTCCTTTTCAAGCATCATATCAAAAGCACTATTGTATGTGGAAAATGTAAAGTATTGTGTATGTTTTCTTGCTTTGGATTAACCCCCCCCAAACATTTACATCTTAATGTAACTGAAGATGGTTGGTCATGATTTATGTCGCTGAAGATATAGGTAATATCCAGGTAAAGCCAAGGCAAGTACTTTGAATCCAGACATAACAAAACCTCTTTTAGACAAGGAAAGGCAAGTTAATCTGTATTTCATTAATTAGACAATTCAAGACACTTTTACAATGAAAAGGAAAAATATGTTGCTGTAGCAAAAGTTTGACTACATGTTAAAAATTTTTGTTTCCTTTGACATGTAATAAGTAAAAAAAAAAGGAAAAGAACAATAGCAATAATCAGTTAGAAAGAACAATTTTAAAAATTCATATAAGCCAGACATTAAGATTAAAACAAGTGATTTAAAAGTGGACTGTAAAAAGCCACATGCCTGATTATATCAATAAATAGAACAGTTAAAGGCAACTTAATCTTGATTTAAAAAAAAAAACTCTAAACATGGTTTACATATTTTTTCTATCTCTCCTAGAAGTAGGCTATTTGTTTTAGTTTCCACAAGTAAGAAAAATACAACAGCTGCAATATGGAAGATAGATGGTAAAAATTGTGTCAGTGATAAGGGAGGCTTTCTACTCAAAGGGCCGGATTTATCAAGATCCAATTTTGC